AAGATCTTTTACGACTTCAACATAAATTCACTCAGGATGAACTTAAAACAGTAAACATTATTGAGAAGATCATTGTCGTTCCAGATGATCTCTCGGAAGCAGCAGCTTAAAAGGTAAAGTCTGCATACAAGCCTAAGTGGCCCACCAGGCTGGAGCTTCTCCTGGTTTCTGTAGCATGAAGCGACTAGGAGTATTTCTACTCCCCCCTGGATGGGATGCTAGTCCATCACAGGGTTACCCCCAGCATTAAGTTTGCCGGTACCCATTTATACACCTGGGTGGAGAGAGGCTCTGTGAGAGTAAAGTGTCTTGCCCAAGAACACAACACAATGTCCCTGGCCAGGACTCGAACCCGGACCACTCAATCCGGAGACAAGTGCACTAACCATGAGGCCACTGCACCTCACACAAGGAAGTAGCAGCTTATGATCTCAGAAATTATGAAGACCAAACCTCTAACACAGAGACTGTTACCACTTCTGAATTATCCACCCAAAAGAGTACAGTGATTGACTCCGACTTGGCAAAATTAGCATTTGCGTTTGGAGAATATCTGAACACTCTACCAGGTGCAAAGACATATGCATCAGAAGCCTGCAAAGAAGTGTACCAGCAGATTCCAGATGCCCAGGAAATTTTGAAATGTTGTGGAAAACTAAAAGGACTGTTTTCAAAGTGCCCTTATCTATCCATGTCTGGAGGCTCACATGGAGGGACTTATCTGTTAAAACTTGACAAAGAAATGTTTGCAACTTTAGTTTTGGAAAAGTAAAATCCTTTAAGAAGGGGTGCACTGTAGTGGACTCAGAATTTTAGAATGATAAGATTTTCTTATTAGCTTTGTTTCAATTTTTCATCATGTAAGCTCTTGTCATAAGTTTACTCCCTTTAAGAAGGGGTGGACCGTAGTCGAATCATGGGACACAAACAAGGTCACATGACAGAGCACATGGAACTAAGTCGAGATCGAGCGAGAGGTACCGAGATCTTCTTCATGTGTTTCACGAGTATCGAGTATTGTCAGAACTTCCTGATTATCATTCAGAATATAAGTTGCCTTTCTACATTTTGTCTACATGTCAGCTAATTCCCCCAACAACGTCTACAGGCAGAGGCTACACCAACTCAGGAAGACCGCGGCCCAGGTAGCACATGATCATACTAGTATTTACATTTATCTTTCCCTATCAGTAGTCTAAAATTGTTTTCGGTAATAAAACCATTTCTTCGTATCACAAACTGAAGAAACCGTTAGAGGTATCATTGCACTAGCCAGCAGAGCAGACACAAGGACGTAGCGTTTACCGGCTTCAGTGTCACTGTTGTGAAGTGCATATCTCTTATAGCGATACACTTCCAATAACTGATGTTGCATATTTAATAAAGTGGATTTTGAAAGGATCAACCCTACTAATCAGTTATTTACGACTCTTGCCCAAGGAGCTAACCGATGGCTTAAAAAGAAACACTCTCTTGTTCGTCTGCAGCGGATGACCAAGGTACTTCAGTGATCCATAAAGTTTGCTGTCAGGACGCAAATCTTCAGTTTCACAGGCCAGGAATTCAAGCCATTTAGTTCATTGTTTTACAACTACACTTGTCAACTAATCTTTGCAAAATATCCATATACAAGTGCTTGCGCTTGCTGGTTATTGAAGATACGTCTAGCTCAGGTGCAGTACAAATCTCTCGCTGCATCTCTACGGAAAACTTTGACAGCTTCGACTGGCACACGATTTCACAGATGTTATATTTTTCAAACATCATTGGATGCTGAGGGGCAAAAGTCTGCATCACTTAATTGCTTCATCAGTCAAGTCTTGAATGTCCTTCTCTGTGCTTGCCTCATGTCTTTGAACATCTTCAATGCCAGTGCTGTAAGTTTTTTTCGCTGTCAAGCAATAAAAAATCCTGCTATTTGCAGAGGTGTGAGGAGGTCATGCTTTTCAAAGATACTGGAGCCATCGCTGTGCTTGGCTCTTCGCATTGCCTTTGAAATGTTAGCAGGATCANTAAAAAATCCTGCTATTTGCAGAGGTGTGAGGAGGTCATGCTTTTCAAAGATACTGGAGCCATCGCTGTGCTTGGCTCTTCGCATTGCCTTTGAAATGTTAGCAGGATCAGCCTTTTGCCTGATGTGTTCGTCTTGAAACACGTCAGTAAGATAGGTTTCTTGTGTAGCTGTGAGGTTCTTTCTTGTCACTGTTGCTGACTTCAGAGCCTATCCCGTCGGTGGTACTGGACCCTCATACTCCAAGGATAAGATAACATCTCCATCCACAGTCTTTGGAACAACACCAGCACCATTCTCCAGCATGGCGGTGTACATTATCATCGCCTTGTCGTACAGTGTTTCCTGCTCTAGGGCATACTTGTGTGTCACAATCCGCTAGCTGTTTTTCAAACGAGGTCAAACAACGAATATTGCTGGAAGGACTTGACACACTCTTCCTCTGGAAAATGAAACAGCCTGCTTCTTTTTTCACTGTTTTCTTCATCACTGTCTTTCTCTGTCACTGAAGCCAATTCTATTGTTTGCTCTGGGCGTTGTCTGGTTTTGACTGTTTCGAAACAAATGTAGGAGCTCGCATTATCTGCCACCTTGTTTAAATGAGGCGGAGGGCTGCTGCTTGCTTGGCAAAAATTTCTCCAGGGTAAACACAAAAAAACTTTCGCAAGGGGACAGATGGTACGGAAATTTTCTTGGAAACTGTCCTGACACCAGAAAACTGAGTTACTGAATTTACAATGCTGTTGTTATTCCTACTGATTTTTACTACCAAAATGCCAGTTAAAAGGGAATTTCTATAATTGAAATAAATTAGCAATTGACGGGCTTCAATAAAATGAGGAACACGGACCATTCCTAAAAATTCTGGAACATAAGTCAATCAATCATTCAATGATTACTCTAGCGGTTTCTTGAGTTTGTAATACGAAGAAATGGTTTTATTACCGAAAACCATTTTAGACTACTGATAGGGAAAGATAAATGTGAATATGACCACGTGTTACCTAGGCCGCGGTCTTCCTGAGTTGGGTGTAGCCTCTGGAGAAGAAGTAATATAAAAATAAATATCTGTGAGCTAGGGTGGGTACTACTAAAACTCTCGGCCTCACAATAATGGAAACAAAAGTGAATGTTTTTTTGAACGAAACTCAGTTTCGACACAGTAATGGACCGATTAGTTCACAGGCCAAGGGTTTATGCGTGACACGTGATGAAGGCAAAAATTTGTGTGACAGGTGAAAAACAACTAAAAGACGTACATGATTCGTGAATTTATGAAAAAGTATGGACTAAAAGCAGCTAAAAGTATAAGTGGCATGTGAATTTTGTTAAAATCTGTGCCTGAAATGCAAACACAACCCCCCTACCTCCCCTCCAAAGTTACTTTGCCACAGTTGTCAATTTCAGTTCACCTCGTTTTGAATTTAAAATTTGCATTATTCCACCAAACGAGGGACAGATGTCTGAGATGTCCTTGAAATAACGGATATACCAGACTTAAAATGTGAAACAATTGAGTTTGCATGTGTATGTGTACATTTCTGGCCAATTAACGTCACCGTCGAATCGGCGCATTTTATCCAACTTTCAAATTTGCTTAAATCGCTCCGAATCATTTCCCCAAAAAATCCTTTGGAGATCGAAAAGAACTACTTATCGCCTTCCAAAAGCCAGATTTTCAGTCAATTATTTCGTGTAGCACATAGTTAAATCACACGTTTCTTTTGACCTATTTTCAGTCTAGTTAAAAGTAGGTTGGATAAATTTGATTAGATTTTGCACATAAATAGACACAAATTGCTCAAATTGCTGTCAACATATGTTTTGATGTTGGTTTTAAAGATTTGATAGTTTTTATTGGTTTAGGTTGTTTGATTTTGTGACACAAAGCTTTGAGATTCGTCTTAAATTTTGAGCTCCAAAAGCGGCATTTTGACGGAATTTGGTTATTATCGATTTCCTCATAAATAAAACGATATTCAGCCAAACAAAGTATGTCATGATTTGTTTGACACTAAGGTCTAACTAACTTGAGAATGTGAGCAGAATTTATTTTTTGGCTGTTGCCACCATATTTTGAAAATGTTTGATTTTTGGGCATATTTGCTCTTAATTTGTGTAAGTATATGCATGGAACAATGGAAAACAATGCCTGAATGTTACACAACAGCCCTTAAATTGTTTGCAGCATGCCTACACTAATCTAATTAAGATGCAGCAAAGCTATATAAAGGGCACTGAACATTTGTTTGTTAAAAGCTTTGTCCAGTCTTGTAGTGTTCAGATAAGGGGAAGTCCCTTCTGAGTTCCATAAACGAATGCTTGATCACGATTGTTCGTCAAATGTCCATCAACCACAGGCTGTAGCTAGAAAACAGATTCAAGTAATAAAATTTTTTTGATGGGTCGTAGTAGGGTGGATGTCTTGGTTTTCACTGTTACTCTTCAAGCAAAGCCATTTTTATCATTTCATTGACATCCACAATATGGGAAGTGGCCAGCAGGTTTGCACACGGGTAGCATCAGCTACTAAGACGATGTCGCCAGTGACAAAATTCCTCTGGGGTTGATTCCATTATTTTCTGCCTTGCTTTAAGAGATGGGATTCCTTGATCCACCTTTCCAGAATGATTATGTCTGCCAGGTACTGGATCTGTTGCCACTGTTTGAAAGAGTATATTTCACCTTCTTGGAAGAACCCAGGTGTTTAAGGTGGTCTTGTAACTAGGAGAGATTCTTTAACAAGGGCCCATAGGTGGTATAACAAACCTTTTGGAAATTCCTGAGCTGACAAGGAGTACCTTAGACTGATAAGGAATTGTAACGAAGCCGCTCTGACAAATTAATTAGTGGCTTAAACTCGAAACAGATAGACTGTAAGCATACCAAACATACTTGTGATCATTCCAAAACTTGGAAATTTCACATTTGGGAGTGAATTTTTTTCCTGAAAATAATCATTAATTTCTACGAATTGCTAGACACCCACCATGCACCAGGTGAGGATATTTGAGTCTAAACCAAGCAGATAAAGATCCAGGGTAAGAGCCACCAAATGAAATCCATTTACTGTTTGTCAAGTTAAACTCCCTGGCCATAGACTGACTGAATGCTGCCAGGTCAGCAAGGGCTTGCTCACTGTTCAGATATTTCAGGCTTGAATCACTCATATCACTGAAAGAAACAACATTATTGTAAGCACATTACTCTATACAAAGCAAAAACAAATAGCACAGCACCATAGTAGAAAACAGAGTCAGCACCTGAGGAAAAGGTGTCTAAAAAACTTGGATCCTCAGACCTGAAAAACACAGTCCCTCCAGGTGTCACTAAAACAGACCCTCTGGGTATCTTGAGAACTCAGACCCTAAAAATTCAGACCCTTCGGGACAAAGACCCTAAAAGTAAAACAACTTTACACTGCATGATTGCAGTGAAACTCAAACCCTAAAATTCAGACCCTTCGGCACAGACTCTAAAAATAAAACAACTTTACACTGCATGTTTGCTGTGGATTGCAGCAAGCCATCTTATTTACTGCTCAGGGTTTATTAAACTTTTCTGTGATACAAGCAAGAATTTGCAGGAAAAAACCCAGGATGGTTAACACCTGTACAGATTACAAATTAAAATAATGCTCAACATTCATATTGATTCTTGGATGCTTGATAAATATAAATCCAGTTTCTCTTTTTTTCAGTCTAGTGCATGAGTGATGGTTTCACAAAAAAAATGTACAAGTAGCATCACATTACAAAACTGAATGAATGAATGAATGAACGGAGGGACGGACGGACAGACGGATGGACGAACGGACCGACAGATGGACGAATGAACAAACGAATGAATGTTGAGTATCAGTGAAGGTATATATCACCAAGAGCTGATTTTTTCCTCTGCAGATTCTGGCTATGGAATCATGTTGATGAACAGTAAATAAGACAGCCTGCATTTTTGAGACATACTAAGGGTTGTAACTTTTAGGGTCTGAGCTTTTCGGACACCCAGAGTGAGAGGGTCTCAGGTTTTAGGGTCTGCGTTTTCAAGCATTTGAGTTTTTGACACAACCCCTGAAATGGAACCAATATGTGGCTGAACATTTGGAAACCAAAATTATAATTGCCCACACAAACAAGTCCTATATAATATTGTAGTGCTACCATTACAAACATAGGCACGCTAGGCGTGCAAGAGTTATTTTTTTGTTGTTGTCGTGAAGTGTCGGAGATAGAAACATTCATGGAGCTGTTTACAGTAATGATTTGGTTAATTTGACAAGTTTTTTTGTTTGCAATGTACAGCAAGAAAGAAACTGGGAATTAATGATGTACATGTGATGTTACATCGGTCATGGTAAGATAGCTAAATAGCAAGCCATAAAATGTTTGACTGAACAAACTACAGTAATCTGACACGTCTCCAGATTAATGTAGATACCATATTATTTTCTAACAGGCAATTTGATTCATTCTTTGATAAAACCCACACTGTGATTGGTGTGACATGCGCACATGCATAACTCCCTCACTCACTGATCACATAGCCCTTCCAACCCCCAAGAGGAATTTTTGCTCAAAAATACTCAAGTTAAATAAGAGACCTTTTCGCATTTTATACGAGTCATAAGTGTACCCTTTTTGCACAACACAACACAACACTACTTCACCGAAAATAGAAAAAAAGAGAAAAAAACCTCTCTGAAACGTTGAAAGTCTGATTTAATTAAATTGCACTTTAACTTGGCGCCACGCAGTCTTCAAAGAACATTTGAGCAGTTTTCATACTTTTTACCTTTAAAAATATTGGACTGAAATGAATGACATCAAATAAAACTATTAAACTGCTACTGCAGAGATGTAAAAACTGTCCAGAAACGAAAGCTCCTTTTTTGTTTAATATCCTGGAAACAATAGCCGATAACTTGTCAGCTCTAATTGAATTTACTCCCATATAAAAAACAAAAGTGGTAAGTTACCATTTGTAACTAAAGATAGCAAACATCTTGTGGGAAAGAGTGGTGACGATTCGTCAGCTCTAATTGAATTTACTCTCTTCTGAAAAACAAGAGTGTCAAATTACACTTTGTAACTAAAAAATAAAAATATCTCGTTATATTTGCATGAAACGGGAACAAAACAATTGTTACCTGCACTTACTATTGTAAACATTGGAACTTTTTCAAATCTAAATAGTCTCGTCTCCTCTAAAACATGTCCTAAGAACTAGAAGCGACAATTCATGACCTCTAATTGAATTTATTCCTTGTGAAAAACAAAAGTATCAAGTTACCTTTGTAACTAAAAAGAAAATATCTCATGCCATTTGCATACTACTAACGCACAAACTGTTTCAAACCTCAAGGCTCATCTCATTCATAATTAAAATCCTCAGCCTAACCCAGAGAAAATGCCGAAGTAAACCCAATATATGAATACTTCCTCCTCTTTTATAGAAGAATAAATCTGGCCATTCTGAACTCTATCGGGATCAAATCTTCCCACAAACAATTTACCTTTACAACAAGAAATTTGATTGCTGTTTATAGTAGATCCAATCTGATTGGTGTGACATACCTTCATCTCTCACTCACTTATCCATTGACCCATCCATAACATACCCAACGAGCCAACTAAGAGGTATTTTTTACAAAAAAAAAAAAAACTCAAAAATTGTTTAGGGTATGCTATTTACTATCTGTGAATTTCCAGTACTGACCCTAACATTTCTGTCTAGAAGTCGTGATCGCAATCAACTATAACCAGTAAGAGCATTCAAGAATATTAAGCTATGACATCATTGCAATGACCTTTTATGACTTTCAGGGGGTAATTTCCTTTGGGAGCAACATGTTCTGCACGTCATGTATTTCAAGAAGTTGTAGTGTAAAGATTTAGTCAAAAGAATGAAACTTGTTGACAGGGATTTAAATAAATATCAGAACAATAATATAGGCTGGAAAATTGACAAATACAAGAAAATACATGTGAACAGCATGGATTAAACCACTTCACAATATGCAAATTTCATGTTGAAGCTTGATGAAGCTTCATTCCCATGTCCAGCTCGCAAGCTCATGTGCATACACTAAATATGTGCATATAAACTGCATATACATAATTCACTTTTATCTGAGCTGCACTGTACATACATGTACATACATAAATCATATAAGACACATATGACACATTATTCCTGAAAACATCAAAGGAGAAATATGTATCAATGAAGCTGTTTTGCTAGGAAAATTCTCCAAAGTCTCAGTGCCAGCACTGCTCAGCGGTGCAAGATTGTGCATGTCACTTTGACACTCATGTGTCTCAGTTTGTCCGCATCTTGTTGTTTTACTTGATCATTGTGTATCACAGTTTCATTGTTGTTCTGTGGCAATAAAGCTATTTACCCTCATGGACTGTGCCTTGGCTCTTCATTTATCACCTCAACTGGCATGGTGGCAGCCGACGGTCCAACCCAAGCCATTTTTCCCGCTGAAAGCCGCTTGTAAGCCTCTATTGATAGAGCCAAAGCAGTAAAATTTCGCTGTGACAGCACATCTTGTTTCCATCTCTACTTCAAATGGCATCTACCCACAGGGCACTGAAGCAGTGGTACTTCTCAAAGGTTGAAAATATCAACAGCTTCAAGCAGTGGAAACAAAACCAGCTATACACTTTATCCTTGGACAGTAACTTTGTCCAGTTTCTAGCCAAAGGAGTCACATGGCAAATGAAGACCAGAACTCAAACACAATGGCGAAGGCGTCCCAATCGTAGACACTGCACTGTGCACCAGAAAGTCAATTTCCTTGAGCTGATGTTAGGACAGATTGCCAGCTACTGTCCCATTATTTCGAGAATCACCTTAGTAAAAAATTCAACCTCTCTTGAGTTTATCTGGCAGACTATCAGGGAACACTTCGGTTTTCAAGTCGCAGGTGTTCATTTCATTGACTTCTCAGACATACATCTTGAGGCTGATGAGTGTCCCTATGACTTATACTAAAGACTAATTGTGTTCATGGAGGACTTCTTACTGCGCTCCAATGGCCTAAGCCATCATGGTGACAGAGGACGAGGAGCTAACACCAACCCTGGAAAACATGGTCATTCTAACATGGCTAAGGCTAATTCATCCCAGCTTGCCAAAACTAGTCAAGCAGAGACACAGAACAGAGCTGAAATCTTGGACACTTGTGTCAATCAAACCGGAAATTTCCCAGGCTCTTAGCTCCCTCCTGGATGAAATCTGTCCTTCTGATGATGCAAAGATCCTCCATACAGTCGTCTCTTCTGAATCCCACCGGCCTGCTCAGGGTAATAAAGGCCCATATACAAACACCTCCAGAAAACATCATCATGACAGGATTTACCCACTGTGCAAACAGGCAGGCCGCTCAGAGATGCTACACCTCCTCAGCGATTGCAGTTTCCTGCCAGATAATGACAGGCGATATATTGTCAAAGCAAGGCAAATTGTTGACATCCTCAATAATGAATCAGATACTGATGATGACGTAGTCACCAGCACGCGCCTTTGCGACCCCAACAACGAAGAACCTAGCTCCGGCACAGTAGCCTACAGCATCCAGACCCAACAATCTCTGAATATGATGTCTTCCATGGTCACCAGGTCATCCATATTATTATTGGCAGTGGCGCAACTGGTAATATGATTCGTTACTCTACCATAAAACGTCTTAGATCTGAAGTCATACCCAGTGCACGGTCTGTCCACCAGGCCAATGGCTCTTCACCACTTAAGGTACTGGGGGAAACTTGGATCTCCTTCACCTGGAATGGTGGAGAGTTGCAGTTTGAGGGCCTGGCTGCTAGAAATCTCCACGTTGATGTAGTCCCTGGCACTCCCTTCATGGAAGCAAACGATGTCACCATTTGTTCTGCCAAGTGCAAAGTGATTGTCAGTGATGGCACAATGTAAACCTATGGATCTTCTGCCCCTCCAGAGCACAACACAGCTGCCCACCTAGCATTTGTACTCCATGCTCCTACTCCCTCGACAACCATCTGGCCTGCTGACCAGCTATCAGACAATGTGCGCCATCATGCTGAGTACACCATTGAGCCACGCACAGATGCACCGAGCATACAACAACTCAAGCCATCCCAGATGTGGCATCAACCAAACATTGTCTCGACCTTAGCAGGGAAAATATGTAT